CCGAAAAGTTGCCTTTGCTGTTAGGGTGGATTTGATTTAAATCACTAGTGCAAAGGCTCGATTTAAATCCTAATTTGTAAAGAGCACCTGTCATCTCTGGTCCCGCAGCGGCTCCTCCTCTGACCCACTGTTGACTCACCGACAGTCCCATTCACTTTAATGGGGCGGCTGGTGATGCGGCAGGGACACAACAAGGTGAGGGACGTGGCAGCAGGAGGTGAGTGGATGTCCGCTAACAGGCGCTGCCATGATGAATCTAAGATGACAGGTGCTCTTTAAATGTAAGGAATCCGACTTGTTCTTTCTGGTAGAATCTTTTATATTTGCAAACCAAATGAAGGTTTCCTTTTTAGAATAATAAGCTGTCAGGTTAGTAAAACATCGATCTCAGAACCGATTTTAGGGTAATAGGTTCATCACACAAAGCTGGAGAACGACTCAAATTCTTTTGTTTCATGTTTTCTTCTCATGGTTACTGTGAAATTGTGTGATTGCGTCAATGCCGTGCGTGTGATCTCAGCTGGCAGAGCTCGGATTCATTGAAGGAGTTTACCAAAAATGTAAATATGCGGAATATACAGCCTCATGCTACATAACTGCACTCCATTTCATGCTGAAAAAAAAAACGAAATGATTATTGTATTTTAAAAAGAAAACTATCTTTAGATAGATTTTTACTCCAAACGCATTTCATTAAAATAAATTTGATAAAAATTTAAAAAATCCAATTTAAATAAAAAAAAAAAATCCAGTTAAAAAAAATAGATTTTTTTTTTTTAATTTAAATTTTTTTAAATCATCGATTTTTTTATCCACCTTGCTTGCTGTTACTATGTAAACCTTCATTAAGCTGACACCACCGTTTGTGGAAGGGAGTTCCACATCCTTCCTGCTCTGACAGTAAAGAATCCCCTACGCAACTTAGCCCTGGTTCACACTGATGCGGTGTGGAATTTGCAGCGTTTTCAGTGTGAATTCCCCACCGCATCAGAATCGCCCCCCCTTCATGCGAACCACTGCGGGTGTGTATGTTACGTTAACAACACCCCAAAAGCGGTCCCCAAAATGCGGTGCGATGTGCAGCCCAGAAACAATGGTGCGCATTTTATTTTATTTTTTTTATCCTACCTAAAGCTCACTGACACTAACTGAAAAATTCCTATTCAAAATATACTGACCTTGACCCCAACCTTTGACCCTGACCTTGGCCTTTGACCTCCAACACTAACCCTGGCACTGACCTAGATCAAATCTTGATCTAGCTATTTTATTTTTTTGTTTTATTTTGTTTTGTTTATTTACATCTTTCTCTCCAACAAGGAGAGAAAGAAACAATGTATCCTTCTCTCCATTCAGAAGAGGAAGTAAACACAGGGGTGGGCTACACAGTGACTAATCACTGTGATAGCCAATCAGAGGCTATCACGACAATCAGGTGACTCTGAGCCCGGCTTCACACTCATGCGGTGTGGTACATCACATGTGATTCGCACAGGAACCGCACCGCATTCCTCTGCAAATCACATGCAATTTGTGTGCGGTGCAATCGGAGCCGTACATTATGTATGGCTCTAATCGCACCGCACCCGCACCAAAAAGGTGCAGGCCCCTTTTTTTGGTCCGCACTAGAATCGGTTCGCACGGGTATTCTCACCTATGCTATCCAATTCTGCACATCGCACCGCGTTTTGCGGACCTCTTTCGGGTTGTTGTTAACTTAACGTACACACCCGCAGCGGTTCGCATGAACGGGGTGCGATTCTGATACGCATGGAAAAAGCTGCAAATTCCGGACCGCATCAGTGTGAACCCGGGCTAAAGCCTTTTTGGACCCACATTGGAGATCCTTGGTGTGCCGGTGACATTTCTCTCCGGTGTATAGAGGTGAGTTACTGATTTACAGAATGGAATTTCTGCTATGTGTACTTAAATGTCATGTGTGACCCCCTATAGGAGAGCTGTGGGCGGGGCTGTGGTGGTTATGTAGAATGTGACTGTTACTTTTATTATTTGTAGAAAGACATTGAAGGCTCCTATGGTCCAGAGGCTGATCTTTACGTCCATCCAAAATGCCCGGTAAGTAAAGTTCGGCTTTGTATCCAGTTCTAGGCTCACTGCGTGCTACACTTCAGTCTGTACTACACTGCCGGAGCTTCACCTTCCCAAGCAGAGGTGGCGCTAGAGGGAAAGGAAGCAAATGTGACAATTACTCAGAGCCCATCGTGCTGCAAGGGCCCCCTTCCAGCAGCAGTAATGCAGGCGTACCTCGGTTCACGAATGTACCGTATTTTTCGCCGTATAAGACGCACCTGACCATAAGACGCACCTAGGTTTTAGAGGCAGAAAACAGGAAAAAAAAATTTGAACTAATGGACTGAACAGGAGATGACCAGAGACTGCAGAGACAATGGACTGCAGACTGCGGACAGTACAGGAGATGACCAGAGACTGCAGGGAGACAGTGCGGACACACAGGAGATGACCAGAGACTGCGGACAGCACAGGGATGACCAGAGACTGCGGACAGCACAGGGATGACCAGAGACTGCGGACAGCACAGGGATGACCAGAGACTGCGGACAGCACAGGGATGACCAGAGGACTGCGGACAGCACACAGGGATGACCAGAGACTGCGGACAGCACAGGGATGACCAGAGACTGCGGACAGCACAGGGATGACAGACTGACTGCTGACCTTTGCGGGAGGGTGACCAGAGGGGAGCGGGTACCTGAACTGCGGACAGACAGGGATGACCCAGAGCTCTTACTTCCAGGGCTGAGTTTTTGACAGCATCAGGGATACCTGTTGCGGACAGCACAGGGATCCAGACTGCTGCGCGCAGAGACTGCGGACAGCACAGTGACTGCTGACCTTTGGGGAGGTGGGGAGCTTCTGTAACAGGGCTTCCGCGGAGTTTTTGTTTGATCTCTGGCATGACAGCCGGCTTCTGCCTCAGTGACAGCCGGGTGCCCAGTGTTGCATGAGCGAGAAGCACTTGCGCTTTGTGATTGGTCCGGCGGCTTCTGGGATCTGTCATGTGTCCCAGGTACCGCCTTACCATTCACAAAGCGCACCGCTTCTCGCGCATGCGCACTGGGCACCCGGCTGTCATGCCCAGTGCCCACACTACAGAAGCCGGGAAGACAGCACGCCGCTGGATAGAGGAACGGGTAAGGTCCCACTGCAGAGCTGAGCGGCCGGCCCGGTATTCTGACACGGCCGCGGTGGAAATACCGGACCGGCCGCTCCATATTCGCCTTATAAGACGCACTGACATTTCCCCCCCCCAGTTTTGGGGACGAAAAAGTGCGTCTTATACGGCGAAAAATACGGTAATTCTGCGGGACTTTTCATATTGCGAAACATTCGTAAACTGGTTTCCCATAGGAATGCATTGAAAACCAATTCATCCATTCCGGAGGTCAGAAAAAAGTAAAAAAAAGTCTTTTATCTGTTCAAATCTCTTTATAAAGTGCACTTTAAAGGCATAAATACTGTACAGGGACATGATTAACAATTAATTAGTAAATGCACTGAAAATCAATTAATCCGTTCCGGAGGTCAGAAAAAGTACAAAAAAGTATTTTTTCTGTTCAAAACATTTTATAAAGTGCACTTTAAAGGCATAAATACTGTACAGGGACATAAATAAAAATTAATTAGTAAATGCATTGAAAACTAATTAGTTCTGGTGGTCAGAAAAAAGTCAAATTTCTTATCTGTTCAAAACTCTTTATAAAGGCATAGTACTGTACAGGGATGTGATTAAAAAACAAATCGTAAATGCATTGCAAAACCAATTAATCCGTTCGTATTGTGAAAAATATTCGTAAACCGAGCCATTATTTTCAGTGGATTTCATTTTTAAATCAAAAATTACGTAAACCGAGGTGCGCCTGTATTGTATTACAATCAATGCACGCCAGGGGTTGCAGTGCCCACAACCCTGTAATACCGGGGTTGATGTACTAAAACCGGAGAGTGCAAAATCTGGTTCCCCGGTGCATAGTAACCAATCCGCTTCCAGGTTTTATTGTCAAAGCTTAACTGAAGAAGTTGGAGTTAGAAGCTGATTGGTTTCCATGAACAGCGGCACCAGATTTTGCACTCTCCAGTTTTCGTAAATGAGCGCCATGGTGTGCCTACTCCTCCACCCAGACCGCTGTGTCTGCCATGGCATCTGTCTGCAAGAGGTGAAAGGAAGCCGTTTCAGTCCAGGAGAGGAGCCGGTACGACTGTGCGAGACTGGAGGTAAGGTCGGAGTTCCGCTTTTATTGTAATCCAGCAATACACTACACAGTGCTTTTAGGAGCAGGGCCACCGCTGGCGTGATAAAGGCATGACTCCTGTATAGGACCTGGACAGAAATCCTTCAGGAGAGGGTCTGCCATCCAGTACCTACATCACTTGTCATACAGAGGATTGCTTCAAAAAAGTCCTGGATTCTTTCTTGGATACACAGAATATAATTGGACCAAGGGCGGACTGACAACTCATGTGGCCCCCGGGCAATAGGGGATCATGGGGCCCCCGTGTCCTCGCCCACACCCAAAAAAGCCTATAAAAAGGTACCAGGGGCATCTCATGGGGCCCCCTACTGACCCCGGGCCCTCGGGCAGTGCCCGAGTTCCCAAATGGTCAGTCCGCCCCTGAACTGGATATAACATTTTTTAGGTAAGGTTGATCCAGGGAATATCCGATTGCCTCTCGGGGGATCAGGAAGGAATTTTTCCCCTACAGGAGCAAATTGGATCGTGCTTTGCTGGATTTTTGCCTTCCTCTGGATCAACTGTGGGTGTAGGAGTATAACTTTTTTTTTTTTTTATGGTTGAACTGGATGGACTTTTGTCTTTTTTCAGCCAGACTAACTATGTAACAGATAAAGAGCAGGGTGCTGGATGCAGGAGGCTAGATAAGCAGAGCAGTGCCGCTGCTTGTGTGGCGCCATTTTTTAAAAGTGTGTCCCAGTGCCACCAAATCAATTTTTTTTTTTTTGTCTCTCAGTCACAGCCCAAGCCTTTGTCACCCTCGGCACCAATGACCTCTATTGTCAAGGAGCGTTAGTTCTCGGCAGATCGCTAAGAAATCATAAAACATCCCATCAGCTGGTGGTCATGGTGACGTCGGAGGTTACAAGTCGAATGAGGTAAGACTGATCTAGGCTGTGTTCAGGAGTCCACCATTTTTTATGCCCCTTTCCCAGGTCACCACCGCCCCAACTCACCCGAATGACACCTAATTTTTGCCACAGTCTTTTTTTTTTCTTCCAGTTGCTAGGGTGCTGGCGCAGCAGCTAATGATGTGGTAGCCCAGCCACCAGTGTCCCAGCAACCAGTGACAACGTGTCTCCTTTGTTGCAAGGATGCTGGCAATTGGGCTGTATGGCATAGTTATTTTTCTCCCACTGACCCCATCTATGGGACACTATTCCTTCAACTGACCTCATCTATGGGGCACTATTTTCCCACTGACACCATCTATGGGGCACTAGTTCCTTCAACTGACACCATCTATGGGGAGTTGCCCCCTTCAACTGACCCGTCTACGGGGCGCTAGTTTCAACTGACCCCGTCTATGGGGCGCTAGTTCCCAACTGACCCCGTCTTTGGGGCGCTAGTTGTCCCACTGACCCCGTCTACGGGGCGCTAGTTGTCCCACTGACCCCGTCTACGGGGCGCTAGTTGTCCCACTGACCCCGTCTACGGGGCGCTAGTTGCCCCACTGACCCCGTCTACGGGGCTCTAGTTGCCCCACTGACCCCGTCTACGGGGCGCTAGTTGCCCCACTGACCCCGTCTACGGGGCGCTAGTTGCCCCACTGACCCCGTCTACGGGGCGCTAGTTGCCCCGCTGACCCCGTCTACGGGGCGCTAGTTGCCCCACTGACCCCGTCTACGGGGCGCTAGTTGCCCCACTGACCCCGTCTACGGGGCGCTAGTTGCCCCACTGACCCCGTCTACGGGGCGCTAGTTGCCCCACTGACCCCGTCTACGGGGCGCTAGTTGCCCCACTGACCCCGTCTACGGGGCGCTAGTTGCCCCACTGACAGCATTGATGGGGCACTATTCCCATTGATACCAACAATGGGGCATTAGTCCTTCCATTCAAACCAATGATGGTGTATTACTTATGCCCACTAATGTCGGGGAATTTTTTTACTCTCACTGGCCACAGTCCGGCCCCCACTAAAGTCTGAAGGACAGTAAAATGGCCCTTTGCTTAGAAAGTTTGGAGACCCCAGGCATAGTGGGTTGTAGTTTTCTAACTTTCTATATACAGCTCATCAGACGCGGTTCCATCCAACATGGCCCTTCATTCATTCTCCTGTTATCTTGTGTTTTCCACAAACCGCGATCAAAGATCTCCGGTGTAGAGCTGGCCATACCACATTGGGAAATGAGCATCCCCTGCATTTTATATAGGGGGTTCACTCTATAGATGGTTGGTGCAGCTTGGTAAATCGTTTTGCTTTTCTATTTAAAGGGGAATCCTCCAGGAAGTTTTTGATGAAGTAGTTGAAGTGGATGTCTTAGACAGCGCAGACACGGTACGCCTGTCTTTGTTGAAGAGACCAGAACTTGGGGTGACCTTCACCAAGATCCAGTGCTGGACCCTTACACAGTACATAAAGTGCGTGTACATGGATGCTGACACCATCGTGAGTACGGCAGGACCCAATGTGGACCTATATTGGTCCTTCCCTGTAAATTGCAGGACTTTTTGTCCGTGTTCTGGGATATATGCCCTGATTATAAGAGGCAGGACAAGTATGCATGACCTGAACCCCGGGGTATGGCTTTCTTTGGCTTTAATGTAGTGGACCATACCACTACATGTGTTTTGTTTTTTTTTCCATTCTCTTTTTAAATGTGTACTGAAAAAAAAAAAGAGACTAAACACGTTTTTAATTTTAACGATTAAAGTAGAAGTCATCACAAAAAGCCACATCCATTAACTAAACAAGAACAATATAGGGAAATAATGAAAAAAGGTCATGTAGAAAAGTTTAGAAACCCTTTGGGGACTGTTCATAAAAATTTGCTGTGCGAATATCTCGGCATTTGCAGAGCCACTGAGAATCATCACCTTAACCACTTCCCGTCCGGCCCATGTACATAAACGGCCGGACGGGAGCAGTGCAGGGGCGGGTGGCCGTTTATAAATGGCCTCCCCTCTCCCTGATTGTGTGCGCTCCCTGGGATCCGGTGCCCACTGTGTCCTCACAGGACACAGTGGAAAACCGATTGTTGTAAAGGACCTCTGTGTGAGGTCCTGATCATGTGATCACTGATTGGCCAATCAGTGATCACATGAAGAGTAGTAAGCAAGATGTCACTTCTGACATCATTGCTTACTATGTGTGAAATCTGTGAATGATCACAGAGGTCACATGGTACAGGGCCATTCACAACAGCCTTGTACCTTGTGACAAGCTGTGGCCAATCACAGCTCGCACAGTATTTCTCAATGGCTGCAAGAATGCAGCCATAGAGAAATGATTGCTTTTACAGCCTTTTTGGGTGTAAAAGCAATCAGTATAAAAAAAATAAAAATCTTCATAACCGCCCACTAGTACAGTGTCACCATGGTGACATTCTACTGCTAGGGTGACAGTATGTAAAAAAACAAAAACATAAATAATAATATAAAAAAAAATAAAAATGTAAAAAAATGTTGGTTATAAACTCATTTGGGTTGTTTTTTTTTTGCTAAAAAGATAATTGAATACATTTTGGCCAAGATTTATGAAGAAAGATTATTTATTTTTTTTCCAAAATTTTTGGACTTTTTCATTTTATACAGCAAAAAAAAAAATAAAAATCCCAGTGGTGAATAAATACCACCAAAATAAAGCTTTATCTGTCTCAAAAAAATGCTAAAAAAGTCATATGGGTACAGTGTTACATGACCGCACAATTGTCATTCAAATTGTGATAGCGCTGAAAGCTGAAAATTGGCCTGGACAGGAAGGGGGGGAAAGTGTCTGCTGGACTGGAAGGGGGTGACAGTGTCCGGACTGGAAGGGTGGTGACAGTGTCCGGACTGGAAGGGGGTGACAGTGTCCGGACTGGAAGGGGGTGACAGTGTCCGGACTGGAAGGGGGGAAAGTGGACTGGAAGGGGGTGACAGTGTCCGGACTGGAAGGGGGTGAGTGTCCGGACTGGTGTCCGGACTGGAAGGGGGTGAAGTGTCCGGACTGGAAGGGGGTGAAAGTGTCCGGACTGGAAGGGGGTGAAAGTGACGGACTGGAAGGGGGTGAAAGTGTCCGGACTGGAAGGGGGTGAAAGTGTCCGGACTGGAAGGGGGTGAAAGTGTCCGGACTGGAAGGGGGTGAAAGTGTCCGGACTGGAAGGGGGTGAAAGTGTCCGGACTGGAAGGGGGTGAAAGTGTCCGGACTGGAAGGGGGTGAAAGCGTCCGGACTGGAAGGGGGTGAAAGCGTCCGGACTGGAAGGGGGTGAAAGCGTCCGGACTGGAAGGGGGGGAAAGTGTCCGGACTGGAAGGGGGTGAAAGCGTCCGGACTGGAAGGGGTGAAAGCGTCCGGACTGGAAGGGGGTGAAAGCGTCCTGGACTGGAAGGGGGTGAAAGTGTCTGGACTCCTGGAAGGGGGTGAAAGTGTCTGGACTGGAAGGGGGTGAAAGTGTCCTGGACTGGAAGGGGGTGAAAGCGTCTGGACTGGAAGGGGGTGAAAGCGTCTGGACTGGAAGGGGGTGAAAGCGTCTGGACTGGAAGGGGGTGAAAGCGTCTGGACTGGAAGGGGGTGAAAGCGTCCGGACTGGAAGGGGGTGAAAGCGTCTGGACTGGAAGGGGGTGAAAGCGTCTGGACTGGAAGGGGGTGAAAGCGTCTGGACTGGAAGGGGGTGAAAGCGTCTGGACTGGAAGGGGGTGAAAGCGTCCGGACTGGAAGGGGGTGAAAGCGTCCGGACTGGAAGGGGGTGAAAGCGTCCGGACTGGAAGGGGGTGAAAGCGTCCGGACTGGAAGGGGGTGAAAGCGTCCGGACTGGAAGGGGGTGAAAGCGTCCGGACTGGAAGGGGGTGAAAGCGTCCGGACTGGAAGGGGGTGAAAGCGTCCGGACTGGAAGGGGTGAAAGCGTCCGGACTGGAAGCGGGGTGAAAGCGTCCGGACTGGAAGGGGGTGAAAGCGTCCGGACTGGAAGGGGGTGAAAGCGTCCGGACTGGAAGGGGGGTGAAAGCGCCCGGACTGGAAGGGGGTGAAAGCGCCCGGACTGGAAGGGGGTGAAAGCGTCCGGACTGGAAGGGGGTGAAAGCCGGACTGGAAGGGGGTGAAAGCGTCCGGACTGGAAGGGGGTGAAAGCGTCCGGACTGGAAGGGGGTGAAAGCGTCCGGACTGGAAGGGGGTGAAAGCGTCCGGACTGGAAGGGGGTGAAAGCGTCCGGACTGGAAGGGGGTGAAAGCGTCCGGACTGGAAGGGGGTGAAAGCGCCCGGACTGGAAGGGGGTGAAAGCGCCCGGACTGGAAGGGGGTGAAAGCGCCCGGACTGGAAGGGGGTGAAAGCGCCCGGACTGGAAGGGGGTGAAAGCGCCCGGACTGGAAGGGGGTGAAAGCGTCCGGACTGGAAGGGGGTGAAAGCGTCCGGACTGGAAGGGGGTGAAAGCGTCCGGACTGGAAGGGGGTGAAAGCGCCCGGACCGGAAGGGGGGGAAAGTGTCCGGACTGGAAGTGGTTAATACCTCTAATACAGTCATGGCCAGGGCCGTGGATAAGGGGGTTCCACCAGTCCTCACTATCATTCACCGGCTTATGAGGATAACGTTTTCCAGAAGCTCTCCGGCTGATACTTGACCCATCTAGGTCTACGTGAATGTCCATTTCTTGGAAGACTTTCCTGTGCTCTCTCTGTTTTAGGCTCTCTGTAACATAGATGGGTTGTTTGACCGAGAGGAGTTCTCAGCTGCCCCTGACTCTGGTTGGCCGGATTGCTTCAACAGTGGAGTGTTTGTGTTCAGACCATCCATGGAGACCTTTGGTCGGCTTCTTAAGTATGCAGAAGATCACGGCAGCTTTGATGGTAAGCCAAGCCATGTCATTGTGCTTCATCACATGGATGCCAGCTGACAGCCATCGGAAGGGATTGTCCCCACTGTGGTTGAAAAAAAATTGCCACTCTTTTTTTCTTTTCTCCTTGAAGATGAAAAATTCTGAGATTCCATCTTCCATCAGTGTGATGGTTTAGCTCCAATGGTGGCCTTTATATGCTTCAGTTTTTTATTCGAATGGCAGTAACTTCCCTTGGATTCAATTTAGATCAGATTCCATCAACCTAAGTCAATCAGCCAAGGCGGACAATTATGGATCGCATGGTGGAAATTATGGATGGATACTTTGTTTATGAATACAATAATCCATAAAATCCTGAGATAACAAGGTGAAAATGGAGATGCGGTTGAAAACTTGCAAATATATCGTAAACGTTTGAAATCTACTTGTCCTGGTATATCAACCAAAAGGCTCCTTTCACACACACTAGTTCCATTTTTTTCTCAGCAGGGGATCACATGCACTCTCCCAAAGAAAAAAAAAAAAAAACACTGTAGCAATACACACCAAGCGGAGCATGTCCAGAGTGTCTCCTAGAGCTTTGTACTATCAGCAGATGGATTGGGGACAGTAGAAGGGGAGGATCAGAGAAATCAGGATCAAACCACTTTTTTACACAATGCAGAGGATTAGCCTCTTAGGTCCCACAGTGAGTCTAACAAGCATGCTTTACTGCATCTACAGACTGATTGTACTGTTGTGGGTACAAATAAAATAATGCAGTAACATGCATATAACGTTCACAATAGACAAAAATGTGATTTTTGTTTTTTGTTGTTTTTTTTTTCCATTTTTTTTTTTCTCAGGTAAGAATATACCGAATGTTTGTAGGGAAGTACAGTATGCGTGTTTCTGTCAGCTAACTGCCTTCTTCAGTGATCAGAATCATACAGACACGTTTAAAAACGCACACAACTGCCATTCATTACAACACAAAGTAGGAATCCAGCCTAAGCACTGAAAAAAGGATAAGCATGACACCTTGCACCTTTTAAAACTTTTTTTTTTTTTTTTCATATTCCTTTGGATTTCAAGGCTAAATGTAAATGTCCTTATCCCTCAGGCTGCAACATATAGTAACAGCTGTGCATGTCTCCTGCATTCCCCTTATAGACAGCTGGACCCTAATTCTGTGGTCTATAGTTCCTGGACACCCGTGCTCTAAACCAGTCGTCTCCAAACTGAGGCCCTTTGCTTGCCTTTATCCAGCCCTTGGGGCACGATGCCTCTCACTGACACCAACAGTGGGATACTATTTCACTGAAACCAAAAAAATTGGGCACTATTCCTCCCACTGACACCAGCAAAGGGACACTATTCCTCCCACTGACACCATCAAAGGGGCACTATTCCTCCCACTGATACCAGCAAAGGGGCACTATTCCTCCCACTGACACCAGCAAAGGGGCACTATTCCTCCCACTGACACCAGCAAAGGGGCACTATTCCTCCCACTGACACCAGCAAAGGGGCACTATTCCTCCCACTGACACCAGCAAAGGGGCACTATTCCTCCCACTGACACCATCAAAGGGGCACTATTCCTCCCACTGATACCATCAAAGGGGCACTATTCCTCCCACTGATACCAGCAAAGGGGCACTATTCCTCCCACTGACACCAGCAAAGGGACGCTATTCCTCCCACTGACACCAGCAAAGGGGCACTATTCCTCCCACTGACACCAAAAATGTGACGCTGTTCCATCCACTGATACCAACAATGTAACGCTATTCCTTCCACTGACACCAGCAATGTGACGCTATTCCTCCCACTGACACCAGCAATGTGACGCTATCCCTTCCACTGACACCAACAATGTGACGCTATCCCTTCCACTGACACCAACAATGTGACGCTATCCCTTCCACTGACACAAACAATGTGACGCTATCCCTTCCACTGACACAAACAATGGGACGCTATCCCTTCCACTGACACCAACAATGTGACGCTATCCCTTCCACTGACACCAACAATGGACGCTATCCCTTCCACTGACACCAACAATGGGACGCTATCCCTTCCACTGACACCAACAATGGGACGCTATCCCTTCCACTGACACCAACAATGGGACGCTATCCCTTCCACTGACACCAACAATGGGACGCTATCCCTTCCACTGACACCAACAATGGGACGCTATTCCTTCCACTGACACCAACAATGGGGCGCTATTCCTTCCACTGACAGCATTAAGGGACGCTATTCCTTCCACTGACACCAACGATGTGACGCTGTTCCTTCCACTGACGCCAGCAAAGGGGCGCTATTCCTTCCACTGACACCAGCAAAGGGGCGCTATTCCTTCCACTGACACCAAAAATGTGACGCTGTTCCATCCACTGACACCAATAATGGGATGCTATTCCTTCTACTGACACCAACAAGGGACACTATTATTTCCACTGACACCAACAATGTGACGCTATTCGTTCCACTGACAACAATGGGGTAGTATTCCTTCCACTGACACAAACAAGCAGTATCCCTTCTTCTCGCACAAAACATGTGGCACTATTCCTCCCCCTGATATCAATGATGGGGGCATCCTTCCTCCTACTGACACCAAAATTGGGGCACTGTTCCTTCCATAGAGACCAATGATGGGGCATTATTCCTTTTTTTGGCACCAGTGATGAAGCACTATTCCTCCCACTGACACCATCAGAAGGAACTATTCCACTGACACCAACGATGGGGAACGGTTCTCTGCATATTACCATGAATGTTGTACAATTCCTCCCAATAATACCGATGATAGGGAACTATTCCTCCCTCTGACACCAACACAATGCATCATTCCTTCCACTGACACCAACGATGGCGCACTGTTTTCTGAATAATACCATTGATGGGGAACAAACACTTCCAATAATATCAATAATGGGACACTATTCCTCATCCTACTGACCACAGGTGCCAGTGACCACCAAGCCTGAGGCATTGTTTACGCCCACTGGTGCTGGGGCATTGTCTACTCCCACTGGCCACAATCCAGCCACCTAAATCCTGAAGGACATTGAACTTGCCCTTCGCTTTGAATGTTTGGAGACCCGTGATCTAAACATTCGCAAAATAGCTGCTTACCTCTGTATCTGGAGGTCCCCCTGTGATACCAGATTTCACCAGAAGGTGGAGCTGCAGCAAAATGTCATTTCTAGCTCCAATAAAAGCCACAAGTCAAGATGTTTGGGATCAGGGGCTTTATTTATTTATTTCAGGTACTTATATAGCGCCGTCAATTTACACAGCACTTAGACAGGATCCAATGAACCTACCAGTATGTCTTTGGAGTGTGGGAGGAAACCCACACAGGCACAGGGAGAACATGCAAACTCCAGGCAGGAGGTGCCGTGGTTGGGATTCAAACCAACAACCCGAGTACTGCCAGGCGGAAGTGCTAACCATTTAGCCACTGTGGCTTTAGCAGATTTATGGGTATTTACCCATCATTAGTATGTGAAATATTAAATATCGTTTGTTTTTTTTCATTATTATTATTATATTTATAGGTATACTTGTAATTTAATTTTTATTATTATATTATATTTATATTATAGGTATACGTGTAATTTAATTTTATTATTATATTTATATTATAGGTATACTTGTAATTTAATTTTATTATTATTATATTTATATTATAGGTATCCTTGTAATTTAATTTTATTATTATATTATATTTATATTATAGGTATACTTGAAATTTAATTTTTATTATTACTATATTCATATTATAGGTATACTTGTAATTTAATTTTTATTATTACTATATTTATATTATAGGTATACTTGAAATTTAATTTTTATTATTATATTTATTTATTATAGATATACTTGTAATTTAATTTTATTATTATTATATATTATATTTATATTATAGGTATACTTGTAATTTAATTTTTTTTTTTTTCCATTTTTAACATTGGGTTGAAATTGCTGCCTGATTTGTTATCCATTATAGGAGGTGACCAAGGACTATTGAATAGTTTCTTTAGCAACTGGGCAACGGCGGACATCAGCAAACACCTCCCTTTTATCTATAACTTGAGTATCAGTTCTATTTACACGTACTCACCAGCATTTAAACAGTAAGTATTCCTATTTATACCCAAAGAGTGACTAGTAATTGCTAAACAATTATTGCTTGTTGCCTGCTTGGAACAAACTAGGGGTGGTGTTGGGGTGTCCTACCTCCCTCAAGCCTCCAGGCTGATATGGTCCCACTACCGCTTCCAGTACTTATGTGAAATCCAGTTTTGCAGTCCAGTCATACTGGTTTTATTCTGCTTCTACAACCTCCATAGGAGCACCGGAATGCACTGGAGAAAGATTTTTGGGTAGAAACCATTTTATATAATCCATTACAGCTGTGCTATGTGGCAGTACTATGGGGCCAAGTGCAACTTTCACTGCGAAGGGCACAGAGCTCAACAGCTCAAGCAAAAACCGGCATGCACCGGTGACTTTCAAAACAATCAGAATCTTGCCAATAAAAAGTGTTTCTAAAGCCACAGTTTTCATCTGCGTGGAACGGATTGAAGTCAGGTTTTTATTGCTGTCTGTTTTCCCCATTGGGGAGGTTCACCCTCTAGTTGTCCTAGTCGCCCATTATCAGCAGGATTGGAAACAATGGGAATCCACAATATTACAGTTGTCCTCAGAACGGAATAAAAAGATACATTTTTCGATGCAGATTTTTGTTGCAGTGACAACTCTGTGGATACTTTCTCTTCCTGACGTGGTGGCTTATCTTCCCAATGGGGACAAAAAAACCTGATATGGGTTTTCAACCTTTCCTTCTCTATGGTTTTATCTTTAGATCTTCACTCACTGGCCACTTTATTAGGTCCACCTTGCTAGTGCCAAGAAAATCTCCCCCAAACCATGACACCACCAGCCTGCCTGAACCGTTGATACAAAGCAGGACAGATCCACCACACCATGACACCACCAGCCTGCCTGAACCGTTGATACAAAGCAGGACAGATCCACCACACCATGACACCACCACCAGCCTGAACCGTTGATACAAGGCAGGATGGATCCACCACACCATGACACCCCCACCACCAGCCTGAACCGTTGATACAAGGCAGGATGGATCCACCACAGCATGACACCCCCACCACCAGCCTGAACCATTGATACAAGGCAGGATGGATCCACCACACCATGACACCCCCACCACCAGCCTGAACCGTTGATACAAAGCAGGATAGAACCACCACACCATGACACCACCACCACCAGTCTGAACCGTTGATACAAGGCAGGATGGATCCACCACACCATAACACCCCCACCACCAGCCTGAACCGTTGATACAAGGCAGGATGGATCCACCACACCATGACACCACCACCACCAGCCTGAACCGTTGATACAAGGCAGGATGGATCCACCACACCATGACACCCCCACCACCAGCCCGGACCATTGATACAAAGCAGGATAGATCCACCACACCATGACACCCCCACCACCAGCCTGGACCATTGATACAAAGCAGGATAGATCCACCACACCACCACCACCAGCCTGAACCGTTGATACAAAGCAGGATAGATCCCCCACACCATGACACCACTACCAGCCTGAACCGTTGATACAAGGCAGGATGGATCCATGCTTTCATGTTTTTCACGCCAAATTCAGACCCTACCATCTGAATGTCGCAGCTGAAATTGAGACTTGGACCAGGCAACATTTTTCTAATCTTCTCTTGTCCAATTTTGGTGAGCCTGTATGAATTGTAACCTCTGTTTCCTGTTCTTAGCTGACTGGAGTGGCACCTGGTGTGGTCTTCTGCTGCTGTAGCCCATCTGCTTTAAGGTTCGCCGTGTTGTCAAGATGCAATCTGCATACTTTGGTTGTAATAAGTGATTATTTGAGTTACTGTTGCCTTTCTATCATCTCGAACCGGTCTGCCCATTCTCCTCTGACATCAACAAGGCATTTTCCTCCACACATCTGCCACTCACTGGATATTTTCTCTTTTTCTGACCATTCTCTGTAAACTCTAGAGACAGTTGTGCATGAAAATCCCAGCAGATCAGCAATTTTTAAAATACTCGGACCAGCCCGTCTGGCACCAACAACCATATCACTTAAATCCCCTTTCTTCCCGATTCTGAAGTTCGGTTTGAACTTCAGCAAGTCATCTTCACCACATCTAGATGCATTTTGTTGCTGCCCTATGATTGGCTGATTAACATGTTGTGTTACCAAGCAATTGAACAGGTGGACCTAATAAAGAGGCTGGTGAGTGTACAGCACGGGTGTCAAACTGGTGGCCCTCCAGCTGTTGCCAATCTACAAGTCCCATGGGGCATTGTAAGATTGACTGTTTCAAGCATGACTCCCAAAGGCAGGGGCATGATGGGACTTGTAGTTTGGCAACAGCTGGAGGGCCGCCAGTTTGACACCCCTGACAGTATAGTCTATAATTATTTCCATGTAATGTATATACAGGAGTGAATGAGCAGTTTATACTTTGCCTTCACAGATTTGGCTCCGAGGCGAAGGTGGTTCATTTCATTGGCACCCCTAAGCCCTGGAACTGTAAATATAACCCGCAAACCAAATGGATTGTAGAAGATGAATCTCTGAGTGGAAATCAGCATCTGTCATTCCTGGTTCTCTGGTGGCAGACTTACATATCGGATGTTCTACCGCTATTAACAGAGCAGCAGGTGCCAGACGTTCCTGAGAATAAGGTGAATGTGATTAGTAATCGTTTCGTATCGAAAAAATTTGTAAGCCGAAACGCGGTTTCCCATAGGAATGCATCGAAAACCAATTAATCCGTTTTGGAGGTCAGAAAAAAGTTAAAAAAAAAAAAAAAAAAAAAAGTCGCTCTCAGTATAGGTCAGTGCCAGTTTTTTTTTAAATGTAATTATCGAGTTTTTTTTCTTCTTCTTCTTCACTATAGCTCAGAGAATCGGCTGTCACTTTCCCCCCAGCTAAAAGAAAGAAAGTTTCCTTTTAGTTTATTTCCCTGAGTTAAAAGAAACAATGTTTCCTTTTAGTTTGTTTCCCGAGATAAAAAACAAAATTTCCTTTAAGGCCAGGGAAAGTGACAGCTAATTCTGTGAGCTATAGTGAAGAAAGAAAAAAAGCCGGTAATTGCATTTAAAAATCAGCAGCGCCAACATACACTTCGTATTGCGAAAAAAAATTGTAAAAAAGTCGTAAACCGAGGCATTATTTTCAATGGATTTTCACAAACACACACACACGATTTTGCACTTCCGCCATAGGGGGGCGCATGCACGCCTCTAGCGGATGGCTTCTGTTGTGAACACTTACAGCAGAAGCCAATCTGTGAGTGCCAGTGAACAGATGTCCACCTGTGTAAAGAAGGCAGAGCTCTGTTCTGATCGGGGGGGTGGAATCATGTATCACTGCAAAGCTGGGAACACAATCCTTCACTTCCCATAGTAAAAGCACCACCTAGCGCACACCAAGCACATAGCCAGGTGTTTATAACGCAAAAAGTAAAAAACAGAGAGGCGATCAATTACCACCAAAAGAAAGCTCTATTTGTGGAAAAAAATTATGTAGGTTTCATTTATGTGCAGTGTTGCATGACCGCGCAATTGTCAGTTAAAGTAACAGCGCTGTATCGCAAAAAATGTCCTGGTCAGTAAGAGGGTAAATCTTCAGGAGGTCAAGTGCTTTACTAAAGATGCTGTTTCACCTTGGAGTCCCCACCCACTTTTCGCTGCATGGCCGCCTGTGTTCAGAAGCATGCATGATTGCAAGCTCTGGTTTGAGACTGAGACTTACAAGTTATGTGGTAATATAAAACTTGAATGTAAGAAAAAAGGTCAACTCCCTTTGCAAGCATTATGACCTTTTTAATGCCATAATAAACTGCCCACAAAAATCCCAAATAATGGGCCCCCCTGCAGTGTTGCGTCCGCATATCCGTACATTATGACGGACTTATCTGTACACGGAGATCTCCAGCGCTGTGCTGCCACGACTCCCCGGCACCGCTGTCTTTACCTGCTCTTCCTTCTGGGTTTGCGGGCTCCACCAGTATGAATGGCCAGAGCTACGATGACGTCATGGATTCCGTGAGTGCCATTGGAAGCCCTGGCAGGGATTCTGCGAGTGCCAATGGAAGTCCTGGCGGGGATTTCGCGAGTGCGAGGGAGGGAGCAGAAGGGAGGGGTGGGTGGAAGGAACAGGTATGTGGAAGGTGTTGATAGAAGGAAGGAAGCGAGGGTGGGTGGAAGGAAGGGAGGGGTTGGTGGAAGGGAGGGTGGGTGGAAGGAAAGGAGGGGTTGGTGGAAGGGTGGGTGGGTGGGTGGAAGGAAAGAAGGGGTTGATGGAGGGAAGGGAGAGTGGGTGAAAGGAAGGGAGAGTTGGTGGAAGGGAGAGATGGGTGGGTGGAAGGGAGGGAGGGTGGAAGAAAGAAAATGAGTGGGTGGAAGGAAGGTATCTCAGACTCGCATGCTCTTTCAGAAGCATTAGAACTGTATGCTGCTGTGTTAAATTTCCCGCCCACATATCCTCTGAAGCTGCATGAACTGGAATGTGGGCAGGCACGGGGAGGCAGAGCTGATCCAGCCTCTTTCTCCGTCTCCTCCCTCTTTCAGTGAAACAGCTGAAAGCCGCATGAGGGAGAGGAGGAGATGCGGCTTCCAGCTGCTTCATTGAAAGCCATACAGGAGATCGCTGCTTGTCACCGCTGCACAGATTATACCTGATCATTCTGTTTCTTTCCTGCCCCCCACTGTGTGATCCTCAGTGCTTCTTCTCTCCCTCCTGCGGCTTTCAGCTGCTTCATTGAAAGCCATACAGGAGATCGCTGCCTGTCGCCGCCTCTCCCACACACCCCTTGTCTCAGCGCTGCTTGCCCCCACCTTTTGAGTGCCATTGGAAGTCTCTGAAGGGGATTCTGTGAGTGCCATTGGAAGTCTCTGCAGGGGATTCTGCAAGTGCCATCGGAAGTAATGACAGGGATTCTGCGACTGGTGTTGGAACTGCTGGCAGGCTGTAACACTGCCTCTTTCTTTACCTTGCTGTTTTCCACAATCCTGCATAGCTTCTCTCCAGTTGAGCTTCTTGCAATTTTGTCTTTTCAATAACTGCATAAACCACATACATTTATTAAATAAATATTGCATGGAGTCTATGTGTAAAAAAAAATTAAAGAAAAATAACAAGCAAAGGTACAGTATCATCTATTGTGTCTATCTGGGTTTTTTTTTGTTTTGTTCCTGGGTAATAAAACTGGGAATTTGGTCACCAATTACCAGTTGTAACTTTGCTTTTGCTCCTATTTTCTTATGTCCATGCAAAGCTACAGATTCACTTAACTTTTTTCAGTGCCGCCAATGTAAGGGCTACTTTGGAACAGAAACGCTTGCCGCTGACCTGCTCAGTATCCCTTATGTCAGCTGCATACCCTGGTGACTATGAACTTATAATGGAAAGGTCAACTCCGCTGAGAAAATAAATGGCTGTGATTAGCAGCTGACAAGCTGCTGATTGAAGCATTAAAAAAAAATGGGTCTGTTCACATCAGTGGGTATGCGATATGGTGTGCGTAACCGATCCTAGTGTGTGTTGTGTGCAAGCACTGCAGTGTGAGCAGGAGATATATATAGATAGATGATATATATATCTCTCTCTATCTATATCTATCTCCTTCTCTCTGTATATATATATATATATATATAATGTGTGTGTGTATCTATTTATTTTTTAAATTTTTTTTTTTTTTTTTTACATTCAACTGCATGCCCCACATAGCGTTGCTATCTGTTGTCATACATTTTGCACACAGATGTATGCCTGCATCATTTTATCTCAACGCACACCCACGCAAGTCTGGACTGGAGTTTTGTTTTAGCGTGGGTTCACATATGTACGGTGTGTTATATCGCATATGATTCCCACAGGAACCGCACCGCATTCCTGTGCAAATCACATGCCAATTGTGTGCGGTGCGATCGGAGTCGTACATTTTGCATGGCTCTAATCGCACCGCACCCGCATCAAAAACGTGCAGGACCCTGTTATGGGTCCGCACTAGAATCGGATGGCACGGGTATTCACACCTATGTGATTCGATTCTGCACATCGCACCGCGTGTTGCGGACCGCTTTCAGGGTGTTGTTAACTTAACATACACACCCGCAGCGGTTCGCATAAACTGGGTGCGATTCTGATGCAGTGTGGAATCCGCACTGAAATCGCTGCGAATTCCTAGCCGCATCAGTGTGAACCAGGGCTGAAGGTGCGCGGGAATTTGTATGACCTAATGACTTCACTTTAATACTGTGTGAATTGTAAGGTGTAATGGTACGTATGTTCTTTTCTTTGTGTGCATCAGGTTGGAAGGATAGAGTTTCCAATAAAGAAGGATCCTTCTTTGGATTCCCTAGAAGAAGTTCAGGCAGGGGATCCTGAGAGCACAGTAAGTTTACATGTGTAGGGGATTTGGCCCTGAGATCATGTGACCTCTAAAGATTGTAAAATCATGTGACCAATATAGACCATGAAATCGTGTGACCAATATAGACCATGAAATCGTGTGACCAATATAGACCATGAAATCGTGTGACCAATATAGACCATGAAATCGTGTGACCTAGACCACGCTGTTCACGTTGCAGTGTATTCACAGTGTTGTTGTCAACTTGTAAGTAGAATAGACATGTAGTTTTAAAGTTCGTAGTTTAGTTGTAGTTTGTAGTTCGGGTTAAACAGCAAACCAACTGAATGCCAGATAGGCTTTTGTAGCAGTCACAGCAGAATACTGTTTTTTTTTTTTTTTTTTTTGTTTTGTTTTGTTTTTTTTTTTTTTTTTGGGGGGGTTGGTTTTTTTTTTTTTGTATTTTGGAAAAGTTTTAGGCCTCATTCTCACTTTCATTTAGCTTCTGAATATGCGGGAGACCTAGCGGGGCTTCTGTGAACAGCTGCAGATGGGAAGCCCTGTTCCAAGCATTCATCTTGCAACCATTTCTGGCCATTCTCGTGAAATCAAACATGTGGTGATTGGCCCCGGATGACAGTTTGCATCGAGAGCCTATCATTCACAGGTAATCACTTCATGTTCGATTGCAGCTGAATGGCTGCGGGTGTGTGTGGCGGAAACCCTGCTGAATCTCCTTCAGGAAACTGTAGTTGGCCACTAAATGCTAGTGGAAATGAGCCCTAAAATATGTGAATAAAATCTGATCACTGTAACCGCCTGCGTCAGTGTTGTATGGATCGTCCTAGTCCCTGTAACTGTCACTTTTGTTGGAAAGCTTGGCCTGTTACAGGAAGTGGAAAAATGATGGATCTACTGGCAGGATCAACAGGTATATAAACCACTTTCAGTCCTCCCTATAGCAGATCTACTGCTACACGGCAGACGTTCTGTGCAAAATCACATATATAAACGCGAGTTTGCACTTCTGCCGTAGGGGACGGCACACGCGAAACTAGAGCGCTGCTTCTACTGTGATTGGACACAGCAGAAGCTGATCAACAGTGCCGGCCGATGGATGAGCGCTGGCATCTGTTGATTGCTGAGGAGACTGACAGACCCCCCCTTTCTTGACCTGCCGAGCTGCATGCTCGGATAAAGGTATGGTATGGATTTTGGGGAGAACCCCACGCAATTTTTTTTTTTTCTTTTTTTACATTTTGGCGTGGGGCTTCCCCTCAAGATCCATACCAGTCCTGAAGGGCTTGGTATGGATGCCTGATCAACAAGTGCCGACCGATGGATGAGTGCTGGCACCCGTTGATCGCTGAGGAGACTGACAGACCCCCTTTTCCTGACCTGCCAGACTGCATG